GCACGAGAAACCCTCTCTTATAATCTTCCATTTACAATTTTTTTCTTAATATCGACTTTTTTATTTTTCAGATAAATTCAGTGTAGGTGCATCTTAGATAAATAAATAATTTTACATAACAAGTTATCTTAAAGACCATAGACATGGATTGACGAGAGAGGGGAAGAGCAATTTCTATGCCTCTGCCTTAACTCTCCCTGCCTTCCTAGATCTGACCAGTGTTTTGGTTTCAGCCTCAGACGCAACAGGTTTTCGTTGACAAGACAACCGCCTCACCTACTTATTCAAAATTTCACTCTATAAAAATGAAACCTCCTCTCTCGCTTTGCCCACCGGTACTAATAAAGGGAATAAATTTCTATGTTTCTCTCGATGCGCGCTACAGCAGTAGCCCGGTGACGTCATCACACATGTTCTCAAAAAATTAGGGTTGGCACGCAGAAGAATTTTGAGTCAGAGATTTTGCTGGTTTTGGCACGCACTCACAAAAAGGTTGCCCACCCCTGGTCTAGAGACAGTGGAAGTACCAGCTGAGCTGAGCGGGACAGAGCAGCCTGGGGTAGGTGGGCAGGTGCATTACCAGGTGCCCATTGAGACAGGCGGGCGGGACAGTGGGAACAGAGACGTGGGCCGAGGGCGAGGCAGGGAGGAGGAGCTCGGGTCCACACTGATGTTGGGGCTGAAGTCCCTTCACTTGTGCTGCGGATCTAAGTTTGTGGAAACTGCGGCCGCGGCCCCAGCCGCCCTTGCTGCGTGCTGCGGGCAGTGACGCTGCTCACGTTAATGCTGCTCTCACAGGGGCAGGAGGTCCTGTCGGTAACGGCCACCTGCCAGCGGCTTTAGGACGAGTGAGTCAGCAGGGCCGCCCTAGCCAATCGGCACCCAAGCTTTCCATCCCTGAGACGACTTTTGCTACAACTGGTGCAAACAGTGAGCAAGTTCCTACTTCCTAGCCTTTGGCTACGCCTTTGGAGCCCTGGTCTTGGGGGATGAGTCCCGTGTGGCGTGTGTGGGGACTTACTGTCCCCGTTGGTGAGTGCGCCGTTCTGGTCGCTGCTGAGGGGCGCGTCCGTGGCCAGGCTGGTCACCGAGCGGCTGAACACCTCCTTGTCCGAAGGCTGCAAGAGAGACCACGCAGTCAGACCGCCCTGTGGAGGGGAGTCCGAGCCTCTTTCTAAAAACGGGAGCATCAGCAAAAGCCCACACCCACTACTTTGGTTTAGATGAAGGGAAATTAAATAGATGTCAGTTGCTCATGTGCTCGGCACATGTCCCGTGCTCTGTGCCACGTGAGGCGAGGGCTCCTTTCCCACGTCCTGGTGGGAAATTCCGCTGGACGGGGCCGTCCCAGCATTGCCAGGGCACGGGCACCTCCCACCTGCGGGTCTGCAGATGGGCCCCGTGGGCGGTGAGGGGTCACCCCCTCGCGGCAGGGGAGGTGGGAACCAGAAGCCCCTGCTGCTCGTCGCAGGGAGTCCAGCACAACCTCAGCCCTGGCCCAGGTGCTATGAACACTATTCTGAAAGGTGAGCCATGCCGGGCAAAGCAGGGGAAAGGCCACCCACTGCTGTCACCCGGGGGAAGAGACCCCAGTCTGCCTGGCAATGACCGCTAACGTCCTCAACCCCTGAGACTGCGCATACCCAGCCGGGTCTGCTTCCAGCTCAGAAACAGCCAGCGGCGAACAGGCAGGTCTGCAGCCTCTCCGAGCCCGACCCTCGGCCCTGGGAGGGGAGGGTGGTGCGGGGAGCGAAGGCTTTCTGCCGGGCTCAACTGCGTAGGTGCATAGACGGGCCAGGCCGAGCAATGGCTATGGGTGGTCATCAAGTTGGCAGTTGATGCATTTCTACAAGTCCCCAGCTGGCCTCACGTGGCGCCTGAGCCATGGCTCCCAGGTCTGCCCCCACCCGTGACGGAACACGCGGTCTATGGGGGCCAGGAGGCCGCCCTGGACCTGCTCCGGTTCCCCCTGGAGAATGCTGGTGCGAAGAGCACCGGGAGCCTGGCCCGCGGGCCTCGAACATGTGACTCTGGACTGGGAGCCACACAACAGTGGAGTGCAAGTGGCTCACGCTGAGTCAAGGTCCCCAAGCTCGTGGGACTCAGCTGTTCCGCTCAGTGGAGGTGCCCAGGGGATGGGCCACTGTGGGAGGTGGCCAGGACCGCGAACAGATGCCAACATCGCAGGAGGGACGCTGCCTGGGCGGGTGTCAGGTGTGAGGGAGGAGGCCTCCCCGTAACAATCCATCCGGCAGAACGACCACACCTGGGCTCTGCCACCACCTCTACCCTTAGCTGCCAGGAGAAAGGCCCACGGGAACCGGACAACCAGAGGCGGAGACGGGGTGGGACAAAGGCCGAGGGGTGGTGCTGCGAACCCCAGGATGGCAGCGGGTGCGCCGAAGCAGAAGGGCAGGGACCCCTGGGGCTCCCTGGAGGAGAGGGTCCCAGCAGCTCCGTGTCTGCCTGGGCGTTTGCCGGGCAGGGCGGCCGAGCCTGGAGACGCCTCGGTGAGTGTGGAGCCCACCTGCTGCCTGCAGGCTTTACGCCCTCTCCCCAGACAGGCTGACTCCACACGTGCTGCCTGCCGGCGAGACCACACCGGGACCGGGAGACTACGCCAGGACTGGGAGACCACGCCGGGACCGTTGGGCGGGTGTCAGGTGTGAGGGAGGAGGCCTCCCCGTAACAATCCATCCGGCAGAACGACCACACCTGGGCTCTGCCACCACCTCTACCCTTAGCTGCCAGGAGAAAGGCCCACGGGAACCGGACAACCAGAGGCGGAGACGGGGTGGGACAAAGGCCGAGGGGTGGTGCTGCGAACCCCAGGATGGCAGCGGGTGCGCCGAAGCAGAAGGGCAGGGACCCCTGGGGCTCCCTGGAGGAGAGGGTCCCAGCAGCTCCGTGTCTGCCTGGGCGTTTGCCGGGCAGGGCGGCCGAGCCTGGAGACACCTCGGTGAGTGTGGAGCCCGCCTGCTGCCTGCAGGCTTTACGCCCTCTCCCCAGACAGGCTGACTCCACACGTGCTGCCTGCCGGTGAGACCACGCCGGGACCGGGAGACCACGCTGGGACCAGGAGCAGGCTCTGTCTGGGCACCGCGTGGGCACCGTGTGGGCACCGCGTGGGGCTCAGGCAGGGCCTCTGTGAACACGAGGGTGGCCCGGCCCCACTGCTGGAATGACTCAGCGGGTCAAGGGCATGCACCTGAGCGCGGAACCCTTCTCTCTCACCACAAGGACCAGGCTGCTCAGGCCGCTCAGGCGGCTCCTCCCAGGTGGTCCTGAAGCGCCTTCGGGGCTGGGTCAGGACCCGGAAGACACCGAGGGCTGCAGAACATAGTGAGGCCCGGCCACACCTGCAGACAGCGAGGCCCGGCCACACCTGCAGTGCTGTGACAGCGAGGCCCGGCCACACCTGCAGACAGCGAGGCCAGGCCACACCTGCAGTGCTGGGGCTCCCAGGCCCTAGTGAGCTTGGTGGCCAGCTGTTAGGGGGTGAACTGTATCCTCCCCAAATCCCTGTGGAGTCCCAGCCCCACTACCTTGGGAGTGACCCTATTTGGGAGCAGGGTCATTGCAGATGAAACCAGTTAAGAGGAGGTCTCACTGGAGTCCTTGCAAAGGGGGAACTTGGACAGAGACAGGCGCACAGGGCAGGGGTGGGGGGCACCACGTGATGAGGGAGGCACTGCAAATGCCAAGGACGCCAGCAAGCCACCCGTGACATCCCCTCAGAGCCAACCCGCTGACACCTCCTGGGATTCTGGCCTCCAGAGCTCTGAGGCAACAGACTTGCTATTTAAGCCACTCCATTTGTGGTCCTTCGTTATGACAGCCCTAGAGAATGACCACGGGAGCTAGAGCGGGGCGGACGCAACAAAGACTCATCCCTGCCGTAGTCCCAGGCTCCCTCAGGATCTCTCTCCTAGGCCCCGCGCAATTGCACCCGTTGTCAGAACCCCCCAGCAGCCGGCTGCGTGCACAGGCCTCTGGCCGTGGTGAGCCTGCACCTGCAGGAAGGACCCGCCCAGGCAGCTGGGAGCTCAGGCTGTTCTTTCCGGAAGGAAATTGTCAGCTTGTGGGAACACGCTTAGATGAGTGGCTGGTGTTTGAAAACATGCACATGTAGACACACACGCATGGAGGCACACATGCACACACGCAGACACACATGAACACATGAAGATGCAAGTGCACACACATAGACACATGGATGCACATGTGCACACACGCACACACACATGCACTGGGGCTCACCACGTTCATCAGGTTCTCATGGTCTCCGCTGTACTGTCTCGGCTTCTTTTCTCTGAAATGAAAAATGAGATGTTCCTGTGATATCACACTCACCATCTAAAATCAAACACACACCCCCTTCCCATCCTAATGTCAGACCAAGGTCAACTGCCAGGGAAGCAAAGCCGGACAGGCACGGGCGGGAGGGGCCGGGCGAGTCACAGCAGGGTCCCCACCAGAGGACCAGGCAGGATGCCGAGTGGACCCTGATCACATGTGGAACGCTGGGCGAGCGATGCCTTAAAAAAAGAGCACGCAGACATGTCTCCTGTTCTCCCAGCTGGAGGCTTTGCAGTCACACTGCGGAGGCCTCAGAAAATAATCAGACAGGACCAATTCTGGCACCTCAGGAAGGGTGCATGCTCTCAGGATGAGTCATGTGCACTTCCTTCCAGGCTGTGGAAAAGTCCGCAGAGTAAAAATAGAAGTTGTTTGTACTCGCACAGGCTAGGAAGCCATCAGTTCTAGAGCGCGTTCCCACGGATGCACAAGGCAACAGCGCCCCCTAGTGGGAGACTCGACAACGACAGAGGCGGCTGCCCAGGTCTGGGAGCAAAGGCCCACTTGGTCCTGGTCACAGGGTCCCAGCCCCGCAGGCCTGGGTCCCACTGGGCAGGCAGGAGGGGCTCCTGGGTCCGGAGAGTCCAGCTCTGCTTCTCTTGACAGAGCCATCAGGGGAGGAAGCCATGTCCAGACTCTTAAAAGACGCGTGTTGAGTCTCTTCTGAGGCCACTGGAAGGGCGCGGGCTCTCACCTGTCACAGCTGGAGCACAGGAAGATGAGGAAGGTGATGAGGAAGACCGTGGCGGCAGCTGCCAAGCTCCCCCACAGGGCAATCTGCAGGTGTCCGCCCAGCAGGCTCCCGGAGGGCCCCATGGCGGGAGCCGGAGGGGGCGCCGGCTGGCGTGTCCGTCAGTCCTCCAGACCTGGTGGCATCGGGCCGAGGACTGCGTCCGCCGCAGAGACCAACCTGTTTGAAACAATGTCTCAGGTGACAAGGCGCCAGCACCTGCTAACTAGTCCCCCCCGAGGACGGCTGGGCAGAGTCAGGGTCAGGGTCAGGGAGGCGAGTGCCTGCGTGCAGGCCCTCGTCCCCTCGCCGCCCAGGCCTGTGTCTCCTCCCCTGCACACGAAGGCGGGGCCCGTGTGCGGCGGGGTGTCTGATGGCGCCGGCACGTTAGCGGGTAGATTCCTTGGTGCCTTCATGTGCAGTAGGACCCGGGCCCACAGCAAGCACACGTGTGCTGGAGTCTCTGCCTCCCCTGGGCACAGCATTCATTCCATGGTGGTCCCCAACGTGAAGCCTGCATCTTCCCCACCGTCTCCCCAGCTCCCCTCCCCTGCTTTTCTTCCAGAGGTTAGAGGTCAGTGCAGTCAAGGCCGTAGGATGTCTCTCATTCACCTCGAAAACAGCTGTCTGTCCGAGTAGGTGGCCGCCTATGTCTAGGGCCAGCCTTCCCTGCGCTTCTCCAAACTCCCCTACGCACAGCTCCAGGCGACGGGGTCTGTGCTGAGAACCAGCCCCAGCAGAAGACAAGACCACGAACAAGGACGGCGCAGCACAGGAGCGGTGCTGGGACACCTTAGTGCGGGCCTGGGCCGGGCCTCTGCGAAATGCTTTCTTCATGAATTGCTGCCACGACTGGGCACGCACCGCTCCGCTAGCCCCGCACACACTGCTCTGTACGCCCCGCTCCGCTAGCCCCGCACACACTGCTCTGTATGCCCCGCTCCGCTAGCCCCGCACACTCTGCACGCACTGCTCTGCTAGCCCTGCACACACGGCATGCACGGCTCCGCTAGCTCAATGCAGGAGCTGCCCCCTGGTGGTCAGTCGCTCCCACAGTGGGAACTCTGCTCAGCCACAAGCCAGGCTGACAGCGGCCAGCACAACAGTGGTGGTGGGAGCCTCTCCCGCCTCCTCAGCAGCGCTAAGGATGTCCGACTGCAGCTTAGGCCTGCTCCCTGCTGGCAAGTGGACATCTCCTGAGGGCTCCCAGGCTGCCAGAGGGATGTCTGACTGCCAGCTTGGGCCTGATCCCCCAGGGAGAAAAAACGTATTTTCTTGAAAAAGACTGGTTGTTTCCGTTCTCATTGGCTGGAGGAGCTGTCACCATATCTCGCCATCACTGGCAAGCCCACCAGCCAGCACTCGGCAGCCTGTGGTCACAGGAGCGCTCAGAGAAACGGGGAATTAAAGCCGTTTCCGCAAAGGCGGCTCAACGGGACCAAATCTTCTCCAGGTGAACTATTCCCCATAAACTTGAATATATAAGGTTGAGGAATAATAACAAAAAGCTGGAGAAAAAGAAAAAAAAAACCCGCATTGTGTATGCCTGCAATGTACACAGACGATTCTAGAAGACAAGGTGGCTGTGCTCCAGTCCTGGAATCAACAGGAACACTTCCCACGCTCCCAGTGCATACACGCACCCATTCCTGAGTAGGAGGGACTTCCTTCGTCCCAGGTGGTTTGTAAACAACCCACACTTGGTCATGGTCAGGTCACAGGCAGCCACAGCGCCCGGCTCGTCTGCCCCAGGCAGCTCTAACGAATGGACATCCCTGCCCCTTCTCTTAGGATTTGCTGAAACAATGAACCAGTCACTTTAAACTCAGACTACACATTGGTACCACAGTGAGCTATTAAGACACACTCAAGCAAGCACATGTCGCGGCAGCCTAGGGATCCATGTGGGATAGTTCTATGGGTGGTGAATGCATGCACAGGTGACCTGTATGCAGGCGTGTGCTTGCTTCCTCCATCCCTCCTCCATCGCACGGCAGTGTTCACCGGTGTCTGCTAAGGAAGTACAGGTCTGAGGAAACAGTTGCCAGACCTGGGTCCCGTGACAGCTGTGGGCCTTCAGCGCCCTCTCATCTCTGTACGATTCTTTCTTCTTTGAGCTCTCTCTCCCCAGAGGAGCTGACAGAGTACAATGAAATGTGTGAGGTGCCAGCCCATCAGAACAGTGTAGGGAGAAAGAGGATCAAAGCTATTAGAATGGGCTTCTGAATAAAGGGTGTAACTCAGAAAAAATGTGTCTGAACTCCTGGCTAACTCCCCTTCAACTAGAATTGGCTGAGAAGCTACTAAAAGAAACACTTTTCCCCCAAAAGTTCTCATTGCGGACAAAAATCTCACAGTGAAGAGAATGAGCGTCGTCTGATACATGTTTCCTGGTCAGATACATTGTGATCTCCAAGGCCAACGTGCCTCCAGCTCCCAGGAGCTTCCAGTGCAGCTGGACAGACCAGGAGCAACACAGTCAGGCGGGTAGGAGAGGGGCAGAGGCAGCTGCCCCGGGAGGGGCCACACACAGGTGGCTCTGATCTCACAGCACACCTCCCAGGAATCATACTTCTCTGATCATCGCGAATTAAACTGTGGTGGCTTACCGAAAACGGAGACAGATTTGCCCTCCCCAGGTGTGTAGGTGCACTGATCCCCAGGTGTGCAGATGCACTGACCCCCAGGTGTGTAGGTGCACTGACCCCCAGGGGTGTAGATGCACTGACCCCCAGGGGTGTAGATGCACTGACCCCCAGGGGTGTAGATGCACTGACCCCCAGGGGTGTAGATGCACTGACCCCCAGGGGTGTAGATGCACTGACCCCCAGGGGTGTAGATGCACTGACCCCCAGGGGTGTAGATGCACTGACCCCCAGGGGTGTAGATGCACTGACCCCCAGGGGTGTAGATGCACTGACCCCCAGGGGTGTAGATGCACTGACCCCCAGGGGTGTAGATGCACTGACCCCCAGGGGTGTAGATGCACTGACCCCCAGGGGTGTAGATGCACTGACCCCCAGGGGTGTAGATGCACTGACCCCCAGGGGTGTAGATGCACTGACCCCCAGGGGTGTAGATGCACTGACCCCCAGGGGTGTAGATGCACTGACCCCCAGGGGTGTAGATGCACTGACCCCCAGGGGTGTAGATGCACTGACCCCCAGGGGTGTAGATGCACTGACCCCCAGGGGTGTAGATGCACTGACCCCCAGGGGTGTAGATGCACTGACCCCCAGGGGTGTAGATGCACTGACCCCCAGGGGTGTAGATGCACTGACCCCCAGGGGTGTAGATGCACTGACCCCCAGGGGTGTAGATGCACTGACCCCCAGGGGTGTAGATGCACTGACCCCCAGGGGTGTAGATGCACTGACCCCCAGGGGTGTAGATGCACTGACCCCCAGGGGTGTAGATGCGCTGACCCCCAGGTGTGTAGATGCACTGACCCCCAGGGGTGTAGGTGCACTGATCCCCAGGTGTGTAGGTGCACTGATCCCCAGGTGTGTAGATGCACTGACCCCCAGGTGTGCAGCTGGACTGACCCCCAGGTGTGTAGATGCACTGACCCCCAGGTTGCAGCTGGACTGACCCCCAGGTGTGTAGATGCACTGACCCCCAGGTGTGTAGATGCACTGACCCCCAGGTGTGTAGATGCACTGACCCCCAGGTGTGTAGATGCACTGACCCCCAGGTGTGTAGATGCACTGACCCCCAGGTGTGTAGATGCACTGACCCCCAGGTGTGTAGATGCACTGACCCCCAGGTGTGTAGATGCACTGACCCCCAGGTGTGTAGATGCACTGACCCCCAGGTGTGTAGATGCACTGACCCCCAGGTGTGTAGATGCACTGACCCCCAGGTGTGTAGATGCACTGACCCCCAGGTGTGTAGATGCACTGACCCCCAGGTGTGTAGATGCACTGACCCCCAGGTGTGTAGATGCACTGACCCCCAGGTTGCAGCTGGACTGACCCCCAGGTGTGTAGATGCACTGACCCCCAGGTTGCAGCTGGACTGACCCCCAGGTGTGTAGATGCACTGACCCCCAGGTTGCAGCTGGACTGACCCCCAGGTGTGTAGATGCACTGACCCCCAGGTTGCAGCTGGACTGACCCCCAGGTGTGTAGATGCACTGACCCCCAGGTTGCAGCTGGACTGACCCCCAGGTGTGTAGATGCACTGACCCCCAGTGTGCAGCTGGACTGACCCCCAGGTGTGTAGATGCACATGTGATTTCCTTGTTCTTCCTTCTTGGTGAGGAGACGGAGGCCTCCTGTGAGTGGTCCAGGGCTTGTCCTAGGAGGCTCTGGCCTTTCCTCCACAGCTGGGCCCCGTGCCGGGGGTGGGGTGGGTGGGGGGAGTGTTCCTTCAGTTAAACACAGTGCTCAGGGTCCAGCTTTTGGTCTAATCTGAGCAGTGGTGGGAACATTGTCCTTCCCACGCCGAAGGCTTTCCCAGGCGCAGCGACAGAGGGAAACATAAGGAAGCAGGAGGCGCGGTGTCTGGGAGGTCAGTTACCCCGATAGGAAGGGCCTGCCACAGGCCACACACTGTGCCCTTATCGACCAGGAGCCTCGTGGGAAAGACACTCCCAGGCTCCGAGTCCGCAATACCCTTACTGCCCCAGGACCGCACTGTTTCCTGCCGATTCCTCTATCAAGGAAAGTACTTTCTGAGTCCCCAGAACGAGTCCATCCCAGCAGAAATGTGCGAAGATTTGGGGCTCTCCCTCCTGGTATGTTCATGGTGATACTTCAGCCTGTCTCTCAGTCCTGTTCTTACCTGCCTCAATCCAGTCGCATTCAATTACAGGCTATCATCTCCTCAAAGTATAAAACACACCTCGAGGCCAGACCACGTGTGTAAACAGTCGCCGAGTTGTTCGATGCTGGTCAGAGGGGCCCGCACTGTACCTGCCCTCACAGCTGTAGACGCCCACCAGGCGGGCACTGAGGTGGGAGTGTCGGGAAACAGCAGGTCCAGTTTCCCAGCTGTGCACAGTTCTCCTTGTTCTAGAACAGGCTCCCCGTCGGCTCATCGCTGGACAGTCACGACCGAGACTATCATCTCACACTAACGTGACGTTGCTGTAAAGGAGGCAGCTCACCCCCACCCCCGTTTTATGTAATTTCAGGCTATGGTGGGAACTCATATTTGACCCTGAGAAAGGTCAGTGC